TCAAATTTTCTAAAAATTTGCAGATTTGATCTATGCATTAAGAACTTTAAATTGAACGGTTAGATTGTTGAAATTTGATGTAGAACACGAGTTATTGAACGGAGTAAGTCTAGGTAGACTTACTCCTAGAGTAAAAGGATCCCTCCTCAAATAAAATAGTTAAGAGTTATATTAATTAGTCTTGAGAAAATATTATGAATCTAAATAAATTGTAAATATGTGTGTGGAAATTAAAATAAACGTAATTTAAAGTTAAAATTTGATAATTCAGCAAGTGTTAGAGTTGCAGATTTATCAAGTAAATCAGTAGATAAATAATTGATTGGATTGATTTATTTTTCGCTCACGAGTTTTTTATTTTAAAAAATAAACTGGTCGAGTTGACCCAAACTATTTTCTATTGTGTTTCTTTTCCTTCACATTGGGCTAGTCCCACAAATGGCCCAAATAACGTGCTCCAACTTCGAAACCAATCCAATGGGGTGAGAAAGCTACAGGAACGCATTTATTGAAGGTTTGAGAATGCTAGAAGGCGTCCATGTTCTATGGATATCTTTCACCCTAATTTAAAGTAGTAAAAAACCAACAATTGATAGTATACCAAAATAGATATGCTATGTTTTACAAAAATGGAATCTAACTTATTTATATGGTATAATATATTTTAAAATTTAATATTAGTAATAATTTATTTTCTTTTTAAAAAATTATAATAAAGTATGTAAATAGAATATGAATTTATCTTTCAACAAACTTATAAATTTCACTTTATTATGTAAATTAAAAAGTTTAATATTTAAAAAGATAAATAAAAATATATATAATTTCAATATATTATAGTAAATTTAATATTATAATAATAATAATAATAATAATTAATTATTATTATTATTATTATTATTATTATTATTCATTTTTATTCAAATATATCAATCTTTTAAGTGTAATATACGTTTTTTTTAATAACTTGTAGCCTATGCTTTTAAATTAAATAGATTATAATAAAAAACTTTAGTTTAACCTATTTTTAAATATATGTGATTACTTTGTATGTTTATTAATTTCTGTATGCGAATTGAGTAAATTACATTATTTAAAAAAAAATTTATTTTTTGTTATAGACTATTTATATTATTTATAATATATTTTTATTTAAATAACAAATTCAATTCTTTCAGTAATAAAAAATTCATACATAAAAATTAAATTCAATATATAATTTAAATAAAATTAAATATATACGTACTAAATCAATCATTCATCTTTTGTTTGATAATTTAATTATATTTAATTTAATTTAATATAATTATATTTTAAACTATTTATATTATTTATAATATCTATCTATACCTCAACTTTTTAAAGCAAAATTTCCTCTTAACTTTTTTTCTTTTTGTTTTATTCATTTTTGTACTTGTACGGCCCATTTTTTTATTTAATATGTTGAAATTCGGAATATATAATATATGTAGGTTCATGATATATACACCTCCTTTTTTATTTATTTATAAAATATACCTCCTTTTTTATAAAAATAATTAAAATTTTAAAATATTCTTAATTTTTTAATTTTTAATTTTTAATTTTTAATTTTTTAATTTTACATCTACAACATTTAATTTAATAATTTTTTTTCATACATTTTCCCTCTTTTTTTCAATTTTTACATGCACCCTCTTATCTTTTCTTCACCCCACCTATTTTAGTAGCATGTGAAAACTAAAAGAGAAAAAAAATTGTGTTAAGAAGAAGAAGAAAGTAAAAAATTGAAAGTTAAAGATGTAAAATTAAAAAATTTAAAAAAAACTATAATATTTTATAATTTAAAAAAAAAAATATAAAGGAGGTATACTTATATATAAAAAAAAAAGAAGAGATATATACATAATGAGCCTATATGTATATAATGAGCCTATATGTATGGGCCATAAGCCCAAGCTACTCATGCATGCGCATGCGCATCCATAGTTTGTTTGTTCTATTTGCAATTGCAGTAATCAACCACTTCTCTTATATGTATACTTTCCATTATGACTTACTTAAAATTGAAATGAGTAAGAAACTCACTATACTTTTGAGTATATTGTAATGAGATCTTGTATCAAGTATCATAATGATTTAGTGTCATATGTGAATATGTCATTCATTTGATGAAAGGCTAGAAAAAGTTGTTTAGCATTTAAAATAATAACAGTTAAATATAAAATTCTAACTAATTATATTTTAAATTATACATCTCAAATCTATCTAAGAACTTAAGTGATCTAAGAAATTAAGTGGTTCTTTTGATAAGTGATAATAGCTATCATTTAAAGAGTGTCAAAATATTGCAATTACTCTTCATTAACTCTTCTTCCACTTTTTATGCAATAATCTTCTTATCAAACTTAAGTTGATCCTACACCAAAAGCAACAACTTTAAAAATAGGAGAATAACAACAAATAATCCATGAATCCCATAATTTTTATGACATAAAATTAAAGAAAACACCATAATAATCTTTTCATTGGAAAGCATAAAAAGAGAAAACTAGTAAATGAAATTTTCAATTAAATAAGTAGGAAAACTTGGACAAAGAATGTCAATTATAAAGTGTACAAATTTAAAAAAAAATATGAATTTAAAGAAAAATCACTTTAAGTGTGAGTTTTTTTTTAATATTTTTTTATGTTGGTTATCTATTAACAATAATGCTGAAAGCATAGTATGATTCCTAGGCAAGAGTTGGCCCAATGCCTAAGAGAGATGAACTCTAGAAGATGAGAACCATGAGACAAAACTACCAAAAAAGCCAACAAATAAATAAATAGAAAATATAAATATAATTTTAAGTAAAAATAAATAGATAATACCAAGTTTCAGTTACAAAAATAAATATTCCAATTTAATCATAATTTCAGTTAAGATTTAAACAAATTTTATTTTTAAATTAAAAAAGGTTAAAAATTAATAAAAGATTTTAATAACCTAAAATTTTACTCAAAATATATATATGACGAAATATATATGTAGTAGATTATCGATATAATTTTTTTCTCCATCCGGTGAACAGCTTAAATCCTAGTCATTCTTATTTTGATGCATATATCAAACCGTCAGCAATACTTTCAAACCGTGGGGGGATTTGCAAAGGTCCCCCACGCTAGCTGTCTCAACAATATATGATAGAAGAAAGGTTTATTTTCCAAATCTCCAAATTAAGAATTGCATATATCAGCTTTTATGCATAAAATATAAGTAAGTAATTTATGCTATAATTAATTTTATAATTTACATAATTAAAATTACCTATATTATGTGTATAAAAATTAGGGTTATTAAAGTCTTTTTAATAATATTTTCTTTTCTTTTATTTATTTATATATATTTAATTTAAAAAATAAAATTTGTTTAAAATCTTAATTGAAATTATAATAAAAATTAAATTTTTGTTTTGTAATGAAGTTCATAAATATTCAGAATTAAAATTTTAAATAAATTATAGATAGAAGAATAATTTAAATTAGATTATCCTAACTGAAATTTGTTATTATCTATTTATCTTTACTTTAAATTATGTTTCTATTTTTTTATGTATTTATTTACCCACTTATTTGATAACTATTTTGATGGTTGTCAAATCTTACCTTCCAAAGTATTCTTATCTCTCTGAGATCAATATGAGATATTAGTAGATTATAGATAATAGAGAGAATTTGTAGAAGTATGAATCAGATTTAGGATGATTTGATTTAAACAATTAATTAAGAAAAATAATTACCCTATTTCCCCCCGAAGAAGCAAAAAAGCATAGTTTGTTTGTTCTATTTGCAATTGCAGTAATCAACCACTTCTCTTATATGTATACTTTCCATTATGACTTACTTAAAATTGAAATGAGTAAGAAACTCACTATACTTTTGAGTATATTGTAATGAGATCTTGTATCAAGTATCATAATGATTTAGTGTCATATGTGAATATGTCATTCATTTGATGAAAGGCTAGAAAAAGTACGAGATAACTTGAATATATTTTTTTTTGTTCTTGGACATGGTCCACTTAGTTTGAACAAATTTGTTATTATCTATTTATCTTTACTTTAAATTATATTTCTATTTTTTTTATGTATTTATTTACCCACTTATTTGATAACTATTTTGATGGTTGTCAAATCTTACCTTCCAAAGTATTCTTATCTCTCTGAGATCAAGATGAGATATTAGTAGACTATAGATAATAGAGAGAATTTGTAGAAATATGAATCAGATTTAGGATGATTTGATTTAAACAATTAATTAAGAAAAATAATTACCCTATTTCCCCCCGAAGAAGCAAAAAAGCCTAGTTTGTTTGTTCTATTTGCAATTGCAGTAATCAACCACTTCTCTTATATGTATACTTTCCATTATGACTTGCTTAAAATTGAAATGAGTAGGAAACTCACTATACTTTTGAGTATATTGTAATGAGATCTTGTATCAAGTATCATAATGATTTAGTGTCATATGTGAATATGTCATTCATTTGATGAAAGGCTAGAAAAAGTACGAGATAACTTGAATATATTTTTTTTTGTTCTTGGACATGGTCCACTTAGTTTGAACATAGTTTGAATGGTTCTTAACTTAGCACTCTCTATTCGATGGATTGTTTGTGTGATTATGGACGGGTGTTCTTTTTTGAATTTTAGAAAAAGATGAGTCTAAATATGTGAAAATAATGATGAATTTTTTTTTTCTTTTAAACACATATTAATTTATAATCCAAAAGGATATTTTGCAATAAGATGATTTGATTGAAATAATTAATTAAGAAAATAATTAATACCGTATTTAATATATTCCATTTAAAAGTTGGTCCATTTGCGTATCTAGTATTTAATGTATTCCATTTAAGAATTCATCCATTTGCGTGAATATAAGTGGGTGAGATACAAGAATTATGAGAAAAATAATCCCGTTTTCCTTAGAGAATATAACATAAAATTTTGATGTTTTTGTTCTATTTGCAATTGCAGTGGGTGATGGTGAAAGTGAGACATTCGAATTCATGGCTGAGAGACTGAGCCCTATGAACAACACTTTCCATTTAAACAAAGAAACCTTCTTTCACGAACTTATCAACAATGCTTTTGAGGTAAGTAGCCCTTCAAGTTATTAGTATCTTAACTTGTATATATACAATGTGATTTTTCAATTATGCATTGTTACAAGTATATGACAAATTAATAAATCATTTGATCATATAAATATTGTTTTTTCAATTTTATTATGAAGATTTACTTTCTTTAAATTTTACGAATCGGATTGACTTTTAATTCAATTGTAATTAGAATCATCTTGAAAGATTTATTCTGTTATGTATTATAGAATTTGGTTGACATCTGGCACCATTCCTCCTGTGTATCTCAGTGTGTACTTTTCATTGACATAGTAATCCATCAACTATTGAATGACAGAAAAAGATGCAAGTATTCAGTCAAATAGGTAAACCTTAGCTTAATCGGGGTTGTCAGATGTGGCTCTCAAATTTTTCTGGGGAGAGTAGTTTTCCTTCTGCAA